TACCATTCACCAACACCTCAATTCAACTTATAACATTACCGTGTGTAAACAACACTTCAAATAAGCAACAAATCAACGACTTCAAATGCGACTCAATTATGAAAATGCATGTGGTACCATTGAAGCAGAACTTCCAACTTAGAAAGTGCCAGTTTACCGAGGCATAAGGCATAAGCCCTTAACATAAGATCTTACCAATAAAGGCCAATGCGGTGAGCATTCGTTCCAACTTAGAACATGCCAATCCAGGCCAACTTTAATGTTATGCTATGCTATGCGATGATATAAACAACCACAACTTGGCAACACAACAACGACAACAACATAATAAAGGTCGACATAACAATAATTCACACCTTCAACATTGGCCTAAGGCCTATATCACAGTTATTACCAATTAATCAAGGTAAATCTTGATCATAACAATTTGTAAATCACAACATTTATTCACTACGGAGATATCGAAACAAAATGACATTTCGGTCAATTTGCAAAATACATCAATACACCAACATACCGAATTAATCGACTCGTTTCCAATTATTTTCCAACTTAATTAAATTAATCCCACTGCTAAATTATTTTCATCACTAATAAAATACTAATTCATCCATTTAAAATATATATAGTCCACTGTTAATTATTTTCCCTAAAATTACTAATTTATTATACAACCAATGGATGTGCCATTCTTCCACATAAAATTAGCTTCTAGCAACTAAATTTAATTTACTACTACTGAAAACAGTGACATTCATATATAACGCTATTAGAAATTACCGATATAATTTAAAAATTATGCAGCATAGTGCCATAGAAAGACAAAACAGAGAAACAGAGATAGAAGCAAGTGTCCATGCCTCACAGTGCCAAAGTGGCACTTTTCCCCCACCACTACCCTAGTTCCGATCGACATTTCTCTCTTTCATCTCAAGGTTGCCGAACGGCAACCCCCATAGTACAATAAGTGTCGGACGGAACTTCCACTTCCAGTTTCGTTTTTATTTCCTTTTTCTTATTTTCTATACTTATTTTCTATGTTTAGTCTCTATATTGCTTCAATAATTTTTCTGTCTCCTAATCCAAACCCAAACCAGACAAGCTTTTAACACAGAAACCCACATACTTCTTTGACAGTTCTATAACTAAAACAATATTAATCATGCTTATCACAACAACGCAAACCAACACAAATCAATAAAATAGTAAAAATTTCACATACAAATCCCCACATACAAAATATCGTATATCCTATTATAGGATAAGAAACCCACCCTTACCTGGTTGATTTGAAGACAACTCGAAAAATCTCCAACTTAATTTCTGGAAACGAGCCCTAGCAGCAGCTTCCTTGTTCTTCCCCTCCTCTCTCAAACCTTATTTCTCCTTTCTCTTCTTATTTTGTTTTTCCTGATAACACTACCTCCCTTTCTCCTTCTAATTTCTAATAAAAATACTATTATTTAATCCTTAGTAACTTAAGTGGGGCTAATCAAAACATCCCTCTTATTACTTCGCGACACCATACTTAAGCCCAACATCAATTCTAAGCTTATTAGTAAAATGATACTTCAACTTATTTATACCAATATAAACCTGATTAAATTATTATTCCAACTTAATAAAATAATTCCGACTTCAACGGTAAAAATTCGAATTAAAATAAAATATTCAAAACAATATTTAATTAAATAAATAATTAAATATCGGGGCGTTACACCTTTATAAAGCCCCCACTATTGGGGAGAAGTTATGAGGGCGCGACATTCATGGCCTTCAAAACATCGGCCCCGAACTTGGAGAAGGGTATGCGGACTCTGAAATATTCCAAGACCCTAACATAGAAATAAAAGAAGTCTTCGCCCGTGGATTTTCGACCAAGCACACATACGCGATCCCCTGGGACGCACGCCTCTAGGATACATCACTTTCTTCACCGGTTAAAGACACTTCCATCAAAGACCAAAGTTTAGCAATCTCTGTATCATCGATCACACTATTCTTATAACCCATGACTTCGAGGTCGAAAGGGGGCAAAAGCTTCTATCAGAAATTCTACGGAAACTGAGGAGGAAGAATCATGGTCAGAATCACTCAAAGAAGCAAGGGTGAAACCATAAACTTCCCTTGTGATCCGATCAAACCCCTCTTGGCCTAGAACGCCTTGCACCTCTCACATGCATTGGTCCCACAACTCTTTCCTCTCCTCGGTGTTAGAGGGTACGACATTTCCTTCGTCATCACACTCCCTTAGGGTAACCATAATCTAAAAGGAAAAACGAAAATGAAAGGGTAAGGGAAAATACCTGGAAAATGGAGAACATTTGAAGCTGATTGAACGTCTTTGAAAGATGTAACGTCTTCTGCAATATTAGAGATAAAAAAGGAAAGGAGAAAAAATAGGGCTTTAATAGAGTCCAATGAACAATGTACTAGGAGAGGGAAACGTCACCCAATGAACAGAGGTTTGGGTGGAAGTAATCATTACTTTAGGAAAGAGAAAGTGGTGACTCTTCACTCCATGAAACGTGGGTCAGAATAGAGCAGCAACCCGGCGGCGCCTGCATTACCTTCCGCGACTACGTGACCGAATACGGTGTCCTTACAAGAAAGGACTTGAACTCGGGGGGCTTACGTACATCCCAAAAATAATAGGCCCGACCGGATAGTGGAATCAGCAGGGAGAAAGGTTAAATCAGTAGTCGGCTCTGAGTGAAGGTATCTGGGGTGCAACTCAGCTAAGAAAGTATCAGACGATCCATGGACCCGGGTAGTAACCTGTCATCATCATCAACCCGGATAGGGTAGATAGCCGGGACACACCAGCCCGTGACCGGTCATCACCTCGGGTCATTAATGCATGTAACCTCCGACGGCGCAATCATTACAATGTTACAGAATTTTGGTTCCTCCATTCATGGGGACAACGAATGTTATAGAGTTATAGAACTCAAGAATCACTCATTAATTAAGGCTCTTGATGACGCAAAGATACACACTATATAAAGAGGCTCTCGCAAGAGGGATAAGAAAGACATTCATCTTGGAACACACGCTTCATTGGCGTAGCTCCCAAATCTCTAATCATCCCATAAACTCACTCCGATAAACTCTCTCTAACAATCTCCTAAAAAATCGGAGGGATATTTATTCTACACAAGAATATATATATATATATATATATATATATATATATATATATATATATATATATATATATATATATATATATATATATATATAATGAGTAACTAATGTATAAATCAAATATATTGATTATCTTATGAATTTAAAATGCAGATTTTTTTATAATCAAAATTGAAAGAAAAAAAAAAGGTAACATGTTATTAAGTTATGTGTATTATCTTCAATCCGTGTCAGCAGCTAAAAATTATCTTATCAATTATTTATTATTTCTTTATTTGTTTTATTTTATCTACTATTAATCTTTACCTAAAACAAATCATAATCTTAATTGATTTTCCTAAGGTTACGGTTTAAAGAGAGAAAAACGTTAAAAAGAGAGATAGAGGGGGCAGTAGAATTTATTATATATACCCTAGAAGATTTTCGAAAGAACAAAAACTCACCTTAAAAAGTCAGGAAAAAGAGAAGAAAAACAAAGAGCTGAAAGAGGGGGAAGAAAAGAAGAATTTCAGGTGAGTAGAATTCTCTTTTGTTTGATGAAAATTAAGTTGCATTGTTTGATTTTTTTATTTTAAATTTTAATATTCAATCTTACTATAGACTAATTCAAAAAGGTTAATTTTATCGTTTATTTGAAGAGATGTTTAAAACAGATGAAAATTTTAATTGAGTTTGTTTCAATTATATCTACTATCGAATTTAAATCTAAAACTTTAAAAAGAACACACATTGATTAAAGTATGCATTATCACGTCAATGTAAACTTAGATTGTCGCAATTCGCAATTCACAATGAGTTTTTGTTTATTTGGTTTCAATTTTCATTCTTTATGAACATATTTTCTTCTAATAAGGACTATTTAGCTTGAAATATGAACCTTTTGAACAATTTTTTTGATGTTTTCCTTTTTCAGTAACAAATAATGTGTACAATGACTATTATGTATATGATTGTTTTTTACTGTGTGCAAGACGAATTATAGGGTTTCATATTTCTTCATAATTAAGTTATGATAAAAATAGTTTTTTATATTAAGAGTGTTTAAAATAAAATCGATCTAATCTAATAAAAAATTGTTACTCAAACCTAATCAAATCTAAAATATCAAAAATCATTTTTTAGTTAGAATGTGTTTTGGTAATTTTTTTAAGGGAATTATACGAATTAGTTTAATTTGTGATTTGTATTTTATAAATTGAACCAAATTAAATTAAATCATATTATTTTACAAAATCTCATAATTATATTTTTTTTTTTAATTTTTTAGATAAATCAAGTACTATGACTATATTTTATTGTAGATATTTTTTTAAATTTTATATCAATAAAAAAGAAAATATTATTTATTTATAATTACTATTATTTTTATTTGAAATAAAATTATTTTAATATATATTTTTTAAAATTTTTAATTTGTTAACGTGGATAAAAATAAGAAAAGATTTAATTTACATTAATATATAAATAAATTGATAATATAAATAATTATAGTCTTATGAGACTAGCATAGTCACATGCATATATTTATTTGTAATTATATAATTTAATTTTATAAATTTACTAAAGAAGCAATATTATATATATTGTTTTTTAAACATAAGATAAAGTTGTAGGAAATAATTCTTATTTATACAATTTTTATTTATATAATATATGATAAATTTATTTTGATAATTATAAATTTATTTTATGTTAATGTATGATAGATAAAACACAAAAATATATGTAAGTATGAATCAATAAAGGTCTTGTAAAAACCAAATCAATGTATGATTATTGTTTTTATCTTAGGTTTAATGTCATATGCAGAAAACTTCACGAGCTTCCATTGAATTTTATATGCTTGGATAAAGATGGTTATGCAAAACTCTCTACAAATAACAACAAATGCTTCTGCTGCTTATGATGATGATGGACGTCCCAAAAGAACAGGTAGCCGAAACTTTCTATAGCATCATAACCAATTCGTTTTCATATACTTGAATTCTATGTTGTAACATTCGGCGTGATGAGCTTAACAACATAGCTTGAATTTGAATACTCAAGTTTTATATTTCCTGCCATAAATTCTGCAGGAAATCTGAAAAGTGCTGTGGCTCATATCATCACTGCTGTTATTGGCTCTGGTGTTTTGTCTTTGGCTTGGAGTATTTCTCAATTAGGATGGATTGGAGGACCAATTGCCTTGCTATCTTGTGCAACAGCTACCTATATTTCTTCAAACATTTTGTCTGATTGTTACAGAAGTCCTGACCCTGTAACCGGAAAAAGAAACTACTCTTACATCGATGCTGTTAGAGTCAATCTTGGTAATAACACGTTAAACTCTTTACTATATACTTGTGCAATCACTCTATACAATTTTCATGAACTACCACAACAGTTATAACTTCAAATTGTGTTTATTGCTGGTTCAGGTACGAAAAGGACATACGTGGCTGGTTTCCTTCAACTCTTGAGCTTGTATGTGACTAGTGTTGCCTATGTAATTACCACAGCAACCAGTTTGAGGTACTTCTTCGGTTGAACCCCTCTTCAAAATGTGATAATAGAAACGTTATTGTAGATTAAGGAGTTGATATTATTTTTCTTTAAATGGAGTTAACATTTTTATTCTACGAATTAATAATACAGGGCTATTATGAGATCAAATTGTTATCACAAGGAAGGACACGACGCTCCTTGTAGTTATGGTGGTAATTTATATATGGTGCTGTTTGGACTTGTTCAGATTGTAATGTCATTCATACCGGATCTCCATAACATGACTTGGCTTTCAGTTATTGCCGCAATAATGTCATTTTCATACTCCTTTATTGGACTAGGACTTGGCATATCAACAGTCATAAGTAAGGCTCATCTTCACTCAATTTCTGTCAATTTAAGATTATATTTATTTGTCATCTTCGAGCTTCTCGATTCATATTTCATAGGACTTGGGTTGCTTTTGCAGAAAACGGAAGAATTATGGGAAGTTTAACAGGAGTACAAACGGTTAATGTTGCCGGAAAAATCTGGTTAATCTTCCAAGCAATTGGTGACATTAGCTTTTCCTATCCATACCCAATGCTCCTTCTTGAGATACAGGACACTCTAGAGTCTCCTCCATCAGAGAATAAAACCATGAAAAAGGCTTCCGTGATTTCAATCGCCATTACAACATTCTTCTACTTATGTTGTGGATGCTTTGGATATGCGGCTTTTGGAGATGCTGCACCAGGAAATTTATTGACAGGGTTTGGATTTTATGAGCCTTTCTGGCTTATTGACATTGCCAATGTTTGTATTATCATTCACTTGGTTGGAGGATATCAGGTACTACTCATAGTCTCTTACTTAATCACTTTTAGTGCCATACTTTGTACTAAACCATTTACACTTTTCAATGATTTCATTTGTGTGGTTTTTCAACAGATATTCAGTCAACCAATATACAGTGCTGCTGATAGATGGTGTTCAAAGAAGTACCCTAACAGTGACTTTGTTAATGATTTCCAGAAAGTGAAACTTCCTCTATTACCGGCTTTTGAGATAAATCTTTTCAGATTTTGTTTTAGAACAACCTATGTGATTTCAACCACTGGACTTGCAATATTATTCCCTTACTTCAACCAAATTCTGGGAGTATTAGGAGGCATAAATTTCTGGCCATTGGCTATATATTTCCCAGTTGAGATGTACTTCGTACAGATGAAAATTGGAGCTTGGACTAAAAAATGGATTCTTCTAAGAATATTTAGTTTTGCTTGCTTTCTTGTCACAATGATGGGATTTATTGGATCATTTGAAGGAATCATACGTGAGAAACTCAAGTAATTGAATTATTACCCATTTATGATGATTCATTTAATGTTTTTATGTACTCTAGATTAGCTCATGTGCTTTTCAGACTTCCAATTTTATTATTATTAAAGAGAAGCTTTTAAAGCTCTATAGCATTATTATCCAAAATAAACAAATTCAAATGATATAAAGAAATGCTTATGACCATGTGGAAATAAAATAGAAATATTTCTTGTCAATTTGAAATTGTTTGAAATCATGTTGATCAATATCTTCAAGCCATTTTTCACTTTAAGATGGGAAAATTTTTTCATTCATGTCATGTTCAAATTCAAATTCAAATACACCCCGATATAAGCATTTTAGGCATCACAAGTTGCAATCTTTTTAGTGTACTCTATAATCTAATAATCACATGGAAAAAAACCCACCAAACCAGCAATCTCCCCATATGCTTGAATACACCATTGTTGTTGAGTTTGATCCAACCTTCTTGTGACCACTGCCATTCCATGTAGATAATGTTCACCTTATAACATATCTATGAAGAGACTTCAAAATATACTCATTGATATTTTTAATGAATCTATGGATAAATAATTTTGGGATCGATCAACATTGACTTTGAGACATTTGACAGATTCCTCCTTCACATAATTAGGGAGATTAAGTATAATCTTTATTATTCACATCGGTTGTCGTTGAGTCTGAGGATGTGAAATCATTGTTAGAGATCGGCCTCAGATTTTCAGTCTAACCTTGATGTGGAGATGCTCTTTGAGTTGTGTTCATCCTCAGATGTGGCTTGCTCTATATGTGAGTCGAAGTCCACGATATTAACCTTTAAGGGGTGTTACCGAGAAGAACTATCTTATTTTACCTTATCCCTCTATTCTATGGCACCTGCATTCAAGTTCCTTTGCATGGCTTTATGGAAACAACATGCTTCGGCAAGGTCAGCGTAAATAATCACCAGTACGTCATGAAAGTTGTGATATTTCATCTTCAGATGAATGGAAAACATAAAACCGTCAAGGGCAGCATAACGAGTCTCCCCAAGATGCACTTGTAAACACTTTTGTAAGGGACCACCAAGAATTGAATATATACCATTATGGTATCCCTCCATTCTCCGAAAATCACCATAAGCTCAATGTATCCCTAAGGAATGTCATTGATGTGTTAGATTCTTACTGATCAATCCCCATGTAAGGACCCATTTTCTCATTCTTTAAGCTTAGGTTTTCGAAAATTCCATCGTACATGATATCACATAAGCTTCCTTCATCAACGAGGATCTTTGACACATCAAAATTTTCCATAAAAGTCATAATCACTATAGGAGAGGTTTTGTTGGGGACACCCCTAATTTTTCACTATCTTTGAACCTTAGGATGAGTCATTCAAGTTTCTCTCCCATTGATGGTTCTCCTTTCTTATCTAATATCATTAATTATGAAATCTTCCTCTCATAGTCCCTTTAGACGGCATCTTCAGATGTGGGAATCCTCTGGTGATAAAAGCAATGAAATGAGAGCCTCAAAAGTTAAATGCTATGAACAATCATTTCCCTTACTATGTTTGTCAATATTAAAACTTATTATGTATTACATTGAATGTCATGGTTGGGATCAAAACATAAGAAATAGGACAGTTGAATCTAATCCTAACAAAAGAGGAAACTAGCTACGCTTATCGTAACTTTATAAGCCCTAGAAGAAATAAATTAAATAACATTTGTTGATTATTCCTCGGACAACGCTTTCATCCTTAATATTCCTTTCTTATTCTATCATGTTGTAATTTATGGTGAGAACCTTATTTTTTTTTAGGAACTACTTCGAATTCACCGGTATATCAAAATGAATTTCCTGGTACCCCTATTTATAGGGTTGGAAAGAGTAGGCGTCGCTAAGCACACCTCTCAGGAACGCCCAACGTGCGTACTTTCTTCTTGGCTAAGTAATGTCAAATCACCTACAACTAGTCTTTCTGCATATGCTCGCTTAGCGCTCACCCACACTCAGTTTGCCACTAAAATCCTTCATTAACTTTGAATTAACTTAATCCTGAAGTATTTGAAACACCTTTGGCTAAGAAATATAGTGAGGTTTTGTATTGTAAGATCTTTAGCTTCTTAGATCACAATGACCTTAGGTTTCCATTCCCTATTAAGACACCTCAAAACTTTATTAGTAGCAATTTCATTAGAAATCGGTTTTCCAAGTGAATTCAAACAGTTAATGAGATGAGTGAACCTCTTTAGAATATCGACAATGGTTTCACCATGCTTCATGCGGAATAATTCAATCTCTTGATTCAATATATTGAATCTAGCTTGTTTGACTTTATTAGTTACCTCATGGGTAAATTGTAATGCGTCCCACATAGCTTTTGTGGTCTCACAATGAGAGACACGATAATATCCACCAACTCCTAATGCGGATATGAGAATATTTTGTGCCATCCAATGATGTGGCCATAATTTCTTATCATCATAATTCCATTGTGCTTCAATTTTAGGTACGACAACACCATCGGCATTTGTAACCATAATTTGATTTGGATCGTTGACGATGGAATTCCATACTTTCTTATTAACTGAATAGATATGGATATGCATACAAGCTTTCCAATAATCAGAATTTTTACCAGTGAAAATATGCGCTCTATTGTATGCCCCTTTAGGTTCAAAAGACATTATCTGATAAGCAACTTTGAAGCACAGAATAAATCAAAGCTCGTGATACCACTTGTTAGACGATGTCGACTTATCTAGAGGAGGTGAATAGATCCCCAAGTTTAAAAAAATTAAAAAGGAGTGTTAAATATTTCAAAACTATGAAAAACACTTGGATTAACTATCGTTTAATCCGAACGTTATCGAAAAGCTTGGATATGCGTTTAAACCATTGTAATATGGAATGATAACAACAATCAATTGAGACAACATATTTTCACAATCAACACGATTGAATGTTAACACAATCAAAATGTAATTCCTATGAAATCAAAATAACAAAACACAATTATGTAAATTATCAAAACACTTACTTTGTAAATTTGTTGATGTGAAACTCAATTACAATCCTAAGAATTATAATTTAATCAATAAAGAAATTTCAAGTTTGATACAAAGGATTTTTCTATATATATTAATGCATAATCAATGAATTTAATAATTTGTAATTAAATGTAAAATAGAGAAGTAAAGAGATAGATAGATAGATAGAGATAGAGAGAGAGAGATAGAGAGATAGAGATAGAGATAAAGAGTTAGAGTACATGAGGATTTGTTTAGGCAGTTCACCGCTCATCTTCGCTATGGTTACGTCTCCATTCAATTCCAATCGGAATTGAGACAATCAATCTTACTTTGCAAAAATCATTTACAAGATAAATGTAGCAACCCAAACCTAAAAACCTCATGTTTGATGTTGATCCTAATACTTTCTCTTATCTTGATCTGAGTTTGATGAAGCCACTCAACAATACCAATTTGATCCACTGTCTCGAGCTACTCCTTTGTAAGAATCTCCATTTTTCAAAGCTTTCACTCGGCCGAATCCAAATTTCCAATTGTTGTCACTCAAGATTACTAATCGATTAACCATCTCAAGCTACTCCTTTACAAGAATCACATGTTCTTCAAAGCTTTCACTCGATCAAATCTGAATTGTAAAATCTTATCAAAACCCCCAAATCAACACATGATCTTGGTGGAAAACCCTCAAAGTTTTTCAACGGATGAGTACCCCCAAAGATTCTCAACTCAATTTACTGGTAACACAAACCTAAATTGGATATTATGAACTCCAATTCTAGATGGCGCCCAAATAATGAATGATTATGTGTGTTTGTGTGTATGCATAGAACATGAGAGTTGAAAATGAAGAGAAATGATTTGTATGTTTATGGTTTCATCAACTTTAAAATGATGCACGCATGCGGTATATATATGTGTGTAAGTTGGAGGCAAAAAGGAATGCAAAATGATTAAAGAAAATTACAAATTTTTAGCATTTTTGACGCATGTGTCGACACATGCGTCAAAAATGTTGAAAATTTGCAATTTTCTTTAATAATTTTGCATTCATTTTTGCCTCCAACTTACACACACACACACACTCTTGTAACATCATTGTGTGCTTTTGTAGTAGAACAAAAAAATTAAGAAAGAGAGAGAAGAAAGGGATTTGATCAATCAATTGTTGGAATTGATAAACCTCTAAACTTTAACAAGAATCTAGAAACTCATTTTTCTGTCAAGAACTTTGAGAGAACCAAGTGTGTGTGTTTTTCATTCACCAACACCTATCTCCTTGTTGATAGATTGTGATTAACCTCCTAGAATATGGATCTTATAAGAATTAGATGTATGTGTCTGAGAGAGATTCTTTAGATATTATTCATCATCTTCAACCTTTGTTAAAAACCATTATTGTGCATCTCCAAATCTAAATATTGAGTGTGTGAGGTAGACTAAAGGTACATTAAGAAATCTAATTTTTTTTCTTTAATGTTATGTTTTTGTGTATCAGGTGGAAGAATTATTTAATAGAAATGAATTTTGACTGTGTGTTGTTGACAAAGAGAGAAGAGTTTTTATATACTCCATTTAAGACTTTGGTGAAACAATGTGAAGGTTGTCGCAACATAAAGTTGTGATTTATCCAATTATTCAATGATAATAGCAATCACTCGTACAAGTCTTCGTCATATTCGAGAAAAGAATGATGCAAAAATGAAGCTTGGAGCATGTTATTGTAGATAACAAGATTATTGGATCAAGATCATCGAGGATCTTGAATGTATCAATTAAGTATCTACATCAACAAAAGGAATTGTCATTTTAACTGTATATAGGCTAATGCAGTGTGCTTATTACTGTTTGGATTATTGATAGTATGTTGTATCAAAAATACTTGAACATTAACTCTTGAAAATATTGGAAGACGTGATTATTTTACAAATAATTTTAAACCGTTGAAGACTAGAGTAGGTTCCTACAATGACGATAACACTAAGCCTAT